CTCCCCCCTTAAGTGACGTTTTCGTAAACGTCGCCGTCGTCGTTGCGTAAACTCCCGATTGTTAAGGTCAGGAAAAAGTGGCCGTTATTACGACCGGAGTGCATGGTTGTTTGTTGAGATCCTATTGAATATCGACGGAATTACTTCGTTCCTTTTCTGGAAGGGGAACAAAAAGAGAAGAAAAAGATGCTGTCACGAACCTGAACCAGGAGAAGAATAACAATAAGATTCAGAGGAACGCGAAATATATTCATGATTGTGGCACGACCTGAAAACGAAGGAAAGAAATGATAACGGTGCTTCTTGTACCTGGAGACAAATTAATCCATTAAGCAAAGTCCAAACAAAGATAAACAATACTTACTCGATTCTGGGAGATATTTACTCCTAAGAACCCCCATTGCCGGCCAGAAAATACCTGAAAAAGTAAAGCCACAGGGTGGTCAAAGGTTCAGCATCGTTCAACATTTGTTTCTTAACAAACTGCTTGCGTTATCAGTTGCAACTTGTTGATTGAGTACAAAACAAAGATGGTGATTATAGTTGTTTCACAAGTTGCGATTTTTGAACGGAATGCCGGGAGTCTTTTTCAAGCCAGCAACAAAGATTTGACAAACTAAGAGCGTACAGCTCTGGCAGGGTTAGTACGTCCATTGATAAGGCACCTATTTATCAATAAAAATATTGCAATTATATTGATCGTTAATTCACTAACTATTGACACAAAATAAATACTGTTATTGGTTATAAAGATACTCTTGCTACTATAGAATAATTTGCATTTGTACCAAACACTGTCTAACAAGAGTTAGGTTAGTTGTTGATCCAATTTTGCAAGGTAGTTCCAAAGAGGGGAAGGTCACGGAGATACTGACTTACCCACACAGAATTCAAACACCAAGAATCCTATGAAAATCACTGCTTGGTTCTACAACAAGAGATAACGAAGATGACAAAGAAAGAACTGACCTATTGTTTTTAACGAGCTGAATTGTGCTTTGGCGTATTTCAAAATTCCAACGGAATAAACAAACAAAGAATCTCCGGAGAAACAAAACAAACAAATAAAAAATAAAAACAGATCACGTACATTTGAAGCCAATATGGGTGGGACTAAGGACAGCGCTGCTAATCCAAAAACCGGTCTGAAATGAGAGTTCATGGTTATTATTTGATGGTGGGATATTAGCGGTTGTACTCCATCTAATATGGACAGAGCAATCAACTCAATACTAACTTAACCTTTCATCCTTTTTGACATTACAAGTTCCTTATTTTATGGTTGTTTTCAGCAGTTAACAAATTAGACTAAGGTTGTTTTTTTTATTACGCAGACTCAAATATCAGGTGTTTGCCTCCTTTAAGACCATCATTACATTGCACTGACGTTCATTTCTGATTTCAAAGTGATTTAATTTTGTTTAGAATCAGTTCATCAAAGAACGAGGATATTTACAGCAAGTTATTTTTAAGCAAAACCAGAAAGTATCCATTCAATCAGCAATGGCGGATTCTAATCTTAAAAGTGAGGGCCCGCTAACCCTGGGTTAACTTAACCCTTCTTTGAACAACCCGACCCTGTAGGTGCTAGTGCTAGTAAGTGTTAGTGCTGTAAGTGCTAGTATATTTCAAAAACATTTTTCTCCTGTACCTCATCAACGATTCCACGGTACCCACTTTAGAAATGAGTTTGAACAAACGTGAGCCAAGCATTACAGAAACCTAAAATGATACATAATAAACTTTATTAGCTTATATAGAAGCGTTTTTTAAAGTAGCGACTATATCAATGACAGTGAGTAATTTTAAAAAGTTGGTCTATGACTATTTTTGTCGCATCACTTTAAATGATGACGCGATGTTTTGGAAGAAAAACGCATAAATTCAAACATATGAAAGAAATAAATTCTATTAAGATCAAAATGTACTAACCATAAAAGATGAAAATATCCATCCGTGTGGAATAGTCTCCTCGTTAGTTTTGTTATGTGGGTGGGAATCTAAAATAAGAACATTAGATTTTACATCACGCCAAAACAAGGGACTCATAATCAATTTAAACATCAGCTCTGTTGAATAGAGGGGTGAGGAAGACCACTAACCCGTCTAACGCCCCTATTCAATATCGGGGTATCGATTCTGGGCCCAGTCCAATACTCATCCTTTGCTCTACAAATTGTTAGACCTTCGCGTTGAGCAAATGACCAAGTAAAATGGCTATCCTTCTCCAGGGAAAGGAGTAGAAACGGTGGCCTCAGTTAGTACTTTCATGCTAAATACATAGACACTCCAGTAAAGAGCGTTTTATGTTTACTGTACAGTACTCAAGAACATAAAAAAATCTATAGTTGTAT